TCTTAGCATTTGTGTTTTCACTTCGTGTTTTTGTTGAATAGTGAGGCAGCACGTAGATTGGAAGGACTTGTGTAACCCGGAGTGAAATCTGTTTTACTAAATTTTAGTAATTTCCAGCCATTGAACACTTCACAAATACATGACTCCAACCACATGACTTTGCTCAGCCAATCAGATGGCATGTAGGTCATAGTAAGCCTGTCCCGGCTTCCTCCTGTCAGATGCGTGGAGGCGAGCCAGGTGACAGAGCTGTTGCAGGTTTGTGTTGGCAAACACTTGCTTTTCCCATTTTAATGCATTTTTAACACCCACTAACTTGTGCAACTTAGACGCTGATTACTGTGAGCCGTAGTGTCGTCCTGCACTGAACAGAACGGGACTGTTGAGTTTGACCTTTTAATTGACTGTTTTGCTACCAGCTGACGCTAATTGGCTGCCGGTCCAAACAATTTGATTTTGATTTGACTGATAGTTGTTGAATAACAAATGTTGTGAAGTTATATAATCTGTATATAGCAGTTGAAATGTTTCAGTTAAATCCTTATTGTTTAAATATACTGTTTGTTTATTTATAAATTGTGTACACAGGAACAAGAATAACTTAATGTATTTAGCTTAATTGGCTGACATTTTTGTATTCTTGTGATTTCTTATTGGCCTTGTTTATTTAATGCAGGCCAGGTGAACCCTTCTCGGGTATGGAAAAGGATGGCGAGCCAGTGAACGGCTGGGAGCAGGACTCATTCTGCATTGAAGCTTCCACTGGTTGGGTAGGAATACACCAAATACACTGATTTCCACAATCATACACACCAGCATTTTGTGCTGTGTGTATTTATTAATTACTGCCCATCAGCTCCAGTAGCGTTCCTAAATCTTCTGATTCATAATAACCTAATATTTCACTCAATACCCAGCCTGTATTAATTCATCAGTGTTACATTTGAGTTCAGTGTCATAAACACACTTTTATTTGAGTGGGAGTATCCTGTCTGAGTGTGCAGGATGTCAAACTACTTTGTGGTTTCGAGCTTGAAGAATTAAAAGTTGATGATGTGTTGACGGTTTTAAACTTGAACGTTTTCTTTTTCTTTCCTTCGATGTGATTTTCATTTACGCTCTAAATAAAGCTCACAGCCCATCTTTTAACAGATTTAACTGAACATCTTCCATCCATCCATACTCTGTCATTTATCCAGTTCAGGGTCAATGCGGGGGTGGAGCCTATCCCAGCTACCATAGGGCAAGAGGCGGGGTACATCCTGGACAGGTCAGCAGCCTGGCGCAGGGCTAACACAGAGAGACACACAACTGTTCGCACATTCACACCGATGGGCAATCACCCATTAACTTAACTAACTGCATGTCTGTGGACTGTGGGAGGAAGAGAGGGAACCCACACAGCACTGTGCATCTTCTTTATGTGGGTTGTCCAGAATAGCCCAGGATAACAGCTACCTCTAAACCTGGACGTTAACATCTGCATTCACATTTTTCTCAAAGCATTAAAGACGAAGCTTTAATCAGTAAATCTAAATATTTACTGCAACTCGTGTTGTCAAAGCTGAGTCCTACCTGAGCTCCACAGCAGCAGCAGCAGCAGCAGCAACAGGTGATCCATGTCCAGGCCGACGTGTCTCTGATCTGATCGTCACATGTGCCGTGCTCACCGTATATCTGTAACAGGAAGAGGGGGGGCTTCACTCCTCTCTCTGTGTTAGAGAATTGTGGATTAATATGGTTGTCATTGTGCAGGAAGGCCGAGATGAGTCGATTTGTTTTCAGCTTTTAGTCATTTTCCACTGCAAGCTTTTGGTTTTTAGATTTAGCACAAAAACTTTTGTTTTTACACCTGGTTGGTTGAAAGGTTGCGCCATATATGGTGTAGCAGGAAATGTCACACACACACACACACTTACATGTGAGTGCATTAACTGTCATATGACTAATGAGATGTATGTGTAACTGCTGTGAGGGGAGGCTTGAGTACAGAGTTGGCTGAGATCAGGTGAAGACCCTGACCGCGCTCCCTTGCAAGGAAAAACTTGAAGCGCTTTGTGTTTTGCTTTGTTCACAGTCGGACGGTCTCAGCGTCAGCAGCGTCTATCTCTATTTGGCAGTTTTGGTTCCACAGAGAACCATCTTTCAGTTTAAAAACTATATTTCTATCTGTACGCTCGGTTATTTCTGCCTCTCTGTATCAAATACAAACATCTGAGGGACTCTTCATCTGTTAGCATTAGCCTGAGTGAAAGTCCAGCTCTGTTGAAGTGCCACGGACACCCAGAGGAACTGTCAACGGCGGTTTTATTCCATATTCATCCAGCCTGTTTCGTGGACACTGAAGCCTGCAGAGGTTTTGATGGTGCCCTTGGGGGCACTGAGCACTGGTCACCTGATCCTGGGGTGAATTTGCTGGGACGTCCACTCCAGAGAAGATTCAGTCATCTTGTTAATTCGTGTTAGTTTCTCAGACAGTGCTTGGGGTGGTTGCCTCTTGCTTTCGGGATTGGTGGGGGTCTGGGAGTGAGAGACTCGTTGAGGCTGGTTATCTTGCACCTTTGGGGTCACCCGTGGCATCTGGGTTGTGTTGGCCGGTGCCCTGCTTGGGATTCGGGTTGGTTCGTTGTCCCTTGGCTTCTGCGGTGCGCCGGGCTCTTCTCTCTAGGTGCCCTTCCTATGTCTGTGGGGCTGGGATGTGCTGACTGGCTCTCCGTGGGGGCTTTGGACACAGACTTTCATGCATGTTTATCACACAGCACCCTGGTGCTCAGCTTCATGGTTATTACCAGATGTGCAGCAGATGTGGGCGTCTGTCAGTGAGGTATAACCTGCGTCCTGCAGGTTCAGAGGGTCGAGGCTTTATTCTTCACTTTATAAAAAGTTTTTCTCCGTTAAAGTTGAAGTTGGGACTTCTTGATGTTTGCGTTTCTGGAAAATGCAGTGGCAAACTTTGATCTGATATAAATCAGCTGCGCGTTAGAGGTGAGAGATGTGTGGTTGTGTTTCCATGACAAACAGGATGGACC